CTACACATGTGTTCATCTGTATATCTATAGACATGTAGATATATATCTTTATCCCCCAGGCTGTCCTGAAATCTTTGCATGTCTCTTTTGGTAACCTTAACGTCGACCTTCATAATTATGCCAGACTCATAATTTTCACAGCCCATTGCCTGCCTAGTAAGCTTTTATTTTTAATAAAAGCAGCAATTTCCTTGGCATGAAGCTATTCCAACTAATTGGATGGGGCCAACCTGCTGTAGGTTGTTTTATCAGCCGAGAGGGGATGGGGGAAGGGGAGGCCTCTATTACTGCAGCATGGTGGGGGAACAGTTTATTAGCAGGAGAAGAAGCCTTCTTGCAAGCTAAGGTTGGAGCAAGGGCCCCAACCTGGGCTTGGGACATGCCTGACACGGTGAGTGTTGCTCGTGGTGGGTTTGGAGGAGGAGCTGTTTGGCTCTCAGCTTGTGTCAGCATGGGATTCAGCTGGGCCCAGTTTTCTGGGGTGACGGTTGAAGCCTTTTTAAAAACACTGGTTTAAAAAAGATCTGGCAGTTGATGTCCTTATGAAATTGTTGCTCTTTTCCATTTTCAGTACTGCTCTAGCTGGACTTAATCCGGGGCCTGAGTCACTGTCCCTCTGGATCCTTCCTTGTGGGCTTTGGTGCAGGATGGGAGATGCTTCTGTGCCCGCTGCCAGATCCACACCCTTGAGTCTGGTTTGTCTGTTTCATACCTGTGCCAAAGCCCTTGACTGCAGTGGGATGGAGAAATGGAGAAGGAGTGTGTGTGAGAGAGAAATCAAGAGGAATGAGGGGGCCCAGAGCTCTTTCCTTCCCTCTCAACGGCCTCTGCTGAACTTAGAGCCCAGAAACATTTTGTTCAGCTAGGATATTGTCTCATTAGAGGTGATGCTACCCTAAGCAGTGCCTTTTTTCGGAGTCTGAGTTGACGAGGAGGAGAAAAGGCAAAATTGGTCTTTTTCATCTAGGCTGCCCTTCTCTTCCCCAGAATTCATCCCTGAGAACTGCACATCACGCATGATGGTCTTTTTAAATGGAACTGAGGGCTTGCAACTCTGTATTCATTCATTTATTCATTCAGCAAACAGTTATGGAGTGTCTGTGATGTGCCAGGCACTGTGCTGGGCTCTGGGGAATATGATTTAAAACTCGATGCTGGAATTTACAAACTACTTTGAGAGATGGAAAACAGCCACTTAAAACAGAGCAATATGTGCTATCATGGAGATAAGCTTAGGGTGCAGTGGCCTCCAATTTTAGAGAGCCAAGAACTGCTTGTGGCAGGAAGTGACTGACTGAAGGACGAGCAGGAATTATCCAGGTACGGTGACGGCATGGACAAAGGCTCAGCTAGGTCTGGCAGTGTTGCCCTCTTTATGTTCTTTGACTATAACTGAATTTGAGTATGTGGTTCTTAGAAATATGTAGCTGTGTAAGGAGCCAGTATACAAAGTACTTGTGAAGAACCCACCAAGTACAAAGGCATTGCTAGGTTCTGGGAAGGATATAGGGAGGTTTAAAGTATGATGCCTGCGTTTAAGGAGCTGTCAGTGAATTTATGAAAACAAGGCAAACATTCACCCCTACAGCAGCACGGTTACCGGGGCTGTCTGTGGAATCAGGTAGATCTAGATTCAAATTCTGGATCTGTTCTTTACTAGCTGTGAAACCTTGGGTAAGACATTTCAAACCTCTGTTGAATCTCTGTTTCCCTATGGCACTCCCAAAGTGTGGAGCCTGGGTCCAGAGTGTCAGCATCACGTGGGAGCTTGTTAGAAATGCAGATTCAGGCCTCGCCCCATAACCTTGGTTGTGGGGCTTTAACAAGTTCCTGGAGAGATTCTGCTGCAAGCTAAAGTTTCAGAACCACTGCCCTACGGAGCGGTCTTGAATATTAACTGAGGCAATGTATGTAAATTATTTAACATTTTTCAGATGTTCAATAATTGGTAGCCATTATTTCTCAGCCAGGAGGAATGGGGGGCAATGTGAAGGCTAGTTTGACTGCAGCAATCTGCGGCTTTCCTTTCCCCCAGTGTGGGTAGACACAGCCAAATGTTCTTTGCAGAGGCATCAGCAGCTCCTTAAAGGGTCAACAGATGTTTTGGGTAGCCATGCTCCTTCCTGAACCCTCTTTGCTTTGAGTCCCCAGGTGCTGACCTAGCCACCAGTCCCAGCCAGTGTTGTCTTAGCATGATGAGAGTCATGCATCAAAGTGCCCAGGGCAGTGGCCAGGCAGTTCAGGGAGGGATGATGTGCTGGGCTTCAAGCTCAGACCGTTACCATCTCATCTCACTGACCGTCCCTTTTTCCCTCGTGTGGGTTTGGTCTGTACTTTACAGTGAGGAATTGCAGGAGCCCCAAGGAGTGTAAGGCAGGAGAGTGCCTGGGCTGCCATCTTTCCATCAGCGGCATCAGCCCCAGTCACCCAGTTTCCCTAACTAGTCCAGTGTGGGTTTGTCTGTCTGGGGGAAGTGAAGGTTTTAAGTCACGAGGGGTCTGGCTTTGTGTAGGCTGGTACAGGGGAGGATATTTTCTCTCTCGCTTCCTCAGTGAAGATGCCATGATGAGATGCTAAATCATGTGTGAGGTAATAGGCGTGTGTTGTCAAGGGAAGATCTGGTTTAAGCTTCCAGAATGAGCTCAATGGGAAAAGTGGAGCAATGCTCAAAGGAGGACTGAGAGGCTATGCTTTTGTCATATCCCCTTAGCTATATGAGGCCTTACATCTAAGCTCCAGACAATACGTAAATGTTGGCTACCTGCTGTGTCCAAGACAGCATTCCTGAACCTTCTGTATAAGGTGGAGCAGGGGGCCCTTCAGGAAAGTTTTCTGACCTACACTAAAGGAATTCAGGTCTAGGGCTAATGAGAACTACTCAGTAAGTCTCCATGTCAGTAAACTTTGACAGTTTCTCCTACCTACAGTGCAAAGTAGTAAGGCTTAAAAAATACGTGTGAAATCACCTAAACCAAACAAATGTGTGTGCGTGTGTGTGTATGTATGGCATAAATATGTATTGGTGGTATCAATATGACGCATGCATGTATTCGTTGAGTGAATGTTTGTTGGTGCCTTCTCTGTGGCAGGTGCTGTGTTAGGCTCCAGAGCTACTGGGATGAATGGGACTTGGGCCCGGCTCTTAAGAAGCTCATAGACCAGCAAATAACGCTACGATAAGTGTGCAGCACTTAGCATGGTCCTGGGTGTGGAGTAGGTGGTAAAAAGATGTTATGAGATGATAAAGTGCCTGGGGCTGAGGGTTTCCAGATGAAGTGTCATTTGAACAGGAATGGAAATTACCCAGCATATGTTCTGGATGAGGGTTACTCAAGCCTTTCTAAGCAGAAAGAATAGCACATGCAAAAGTGCGGAGAGGGGAGACAGTATGGTGAGTTCTGGGAAAACTGGCTAGTCTGGTGTTATCATTTTGGTTAGTAGAAGCTTCCCTTCCAGAGTCAAGGAAAGAAGGACATGCTTGGTAGAAGGAAGTTCTTTTACATTTGCTCCCTGGCTGTGCGGGCTGCTTGCTTTCCCCAGTGGCCCTGGGCCTTCTGAGTAACCATTGGCTAGCAGTCCAGTGTGTACTGCTTTGCTCTATGCCTCAGCCCTTTGCCAGTAGTGGGGGCGAGGAGGTGGCTGGGGAAGGAGTGGTCCCGAAGGTTCAAGGAGAGGCAAGAAGCTCGAAGCAGAAGCAGCCGGGGGAGTGAGAAGATCAGTGTTACAGGAAGGAGTGGACAGGGGAGATAATGAGGGTGTTTGGCCCAAGCAGAAGGTATGTTGGAGAGAAAAGAAAAGGAAATAAGGCCACGGAGAGCTTCAGCGCCAGGCAGGGAGGTTGGCTATAAGCATGTGAGGTCTTCTCTTGATGCAGACAACCAAGTTGACCCCTCTCACTTCAGATGTCTTTGCCTGCTGGGAAGTCTGGTTTTTTAGTGGCAACTGCAGATTTTCAGGGGGTGGCTTGTGAATGGTGTCTTCTTCCTGGCTTCGGGCATGATGACGGTTATAGCTTTGCTAAATATAGCCAAATCTCGAATTCAGAAATGAAATCTAGAATAAGTCATTGCGTGGTCAAAGCCTTTCCTTTGGTCTTTCTAACAAAGTCACACTCATTTAATGAGAGGTCATGAAGAGAGAGAAACAGTTTCATATGGGTTTCGAGAGGGA